GATGCCACGGAGAAACCGGGGAAGCCCCCGGAGGAAAACTCCGTGATGCCTAGACCACGGCCTTGCCCAACACAAGTTATAAATTTGAGCACCACCGGGAATTAAATACCCTATAAAGTGGTGAATAGATGGGATAATAGTAATATATCGTTGGTTTGTTATTTAGCAAAATACTTATTTTATATTCCTCTTGCTCAATTTTATCAGTCTAATCACAATAAAATATTATTATTAAATATTAAAATATTATTACAATTAACATTTAAATATTTAAAATATTTAAAATATATATATATATATCCTCTGTTGTTGAAAAGACAAAAATACACCATCTGGTAACAACATTTAGGGACGAGGGACCTGTTTGTCTGTGGCAAGTGAAAATCGAGAGACAAAGCAGCTGGAATTACGGTCGCACCGATTTTAAGCAGTCCATCAGCTGCGTGGAGATAAGGCTGCAAGAATTCACTATTATTTTTGTCTTAGGCGTTTCGCTATGAACGGGTTTATGTGTAGAGGTTAGGGTTTCGTTTGGAACACGCGGTTTCTGCAGACGATTTCCCCCGAGTGACATTCAGGGAAATGTAGCGCGAAACGGAAGGTCTGCAGTAACGTTTGTGTGCGAGGCATTAACAGTTTACTGCCTATCGGTTTCTGTGATGGCGAATCGAAGGCAGGTATCCCGTTAAAGCGGTCACTGTTATTGCAGTTTCAAATTTTAATAAGTATAGTGCATAGTTTGGTCAGAGTTTGCTTTCAGTTTCGTCTGATTTTATAACTAAATTTATCAGAGTCGTTCAGAACATGATAGTCGCTTATTTGGAGAGGAAGTTCCTTGCCTTTTATGGAACATAAAGATTCTTAGCTATGTCCACAGGAGCCCATTCTGCGTCATGTCTAGAGGTAGATGTGTTTAATCAACATACGTACTGTCCACAGATCAGGATAAAATCCCTTCGAGGGGGAAAACTGTTTTAGTGCGGTGCAGGGGTGATGTTTACTACCAAGTGGACTAGAGGGCTGCTATTGGTGGGAAGTGTGATACGTCAGAGTTTTACGCTACTACACACAGACTGAAAACATCAAGCAGTTGAGAGTAGCGTGTAGTGAGCGCACCTCTAATGTGTTCTGTGGGTGTTGCGATAATATTCTAGATTAAATCTCTGTGCCGCTGTGAGGTAATCTTAAAGCTGAACCCATTAGAACACATGAAAGCCTGTCGTCTGTTGTTCGTTCAGTGGTTGTGGAACGAATGTTTTTAGGATGGGTCGTAACTCGCCGCGAAATCTTGCGCATGCGCGTTTAACGAATTCCTAGCAGGGATTTTCTCCTGGTCTGTGGACTGTACCTAAGTCTATCTTAGCATCTGTAGGTTAAGTTCGACAAACCTTAAGGAGTTACGACTTAAATTGTGTTCTTCTCAGAAATATTTAATGAAGTGTTCGAATTCTGAAGATCTTCATTAACTAATCCCTTCTGTGTTTCTGGAAATCTTCAACAGACCAGATGATTACATTTTTCTTATTTGTAGAAGTGAGTAAGCTTATATCTTGACTTTCTCGTATTACCGCCTGCGTACGAGGGGATGGGAAAACAAGGGGGGTATCTCCAGTGTTCGTAGTATCGGAAGCAGCAGTTCTGCGATGTTGGAGCTGTCAGGCTGGTTCGCTCTGTGGGCCAAGACAGGAGCACGATGTAGTGTTTATACCGCGAGGTCGGACAGTTCGGATATGAAAGTTTGCAGCAGTACGTGAATAAGATAAGAGAATGAGGATGAACGGCATATTTGTGTGAAGGTGTGTGTGAGATACTTGTATTTCCAGTAGGATTCCTGTTGAAAGGATACTTTTTATATTTGCTTTAAAATTACCTTATCGTGTCCTATCCCAGTCTTTAATTTCCATGAGATTTGTACGGTAACACAGAATGTTTACTGTCTCGCGTCTGTTAGACATTTAAGTTTCATTTAAGCACATTTTCTGTGTAGTAAACACTTTGGCTGTTATTGAAGCAAAACAAGGAAAGAGTTAACTTCATTTGTTTTATTTTCAAGACAGGGCATAACAGCTTATGGAAATATGATTGACGGTGATGAATTCACTAAAATGTAAATACTACTGTCAGATAACTTGGTGAAAATTTTTCTTTGTTGATAGATATTGTGTGCAAAGCATGCTCAACGAATCCAAGTTGTTTTACGTTTTAATACGCATAAGCGTTCAGGTCACGTGTTTTTGTAAGAATTTCTTTGCGAAATGTGTGCACAGGATAGAGGAATTTTAAGGTTCTGTCAGATTCTCTTTGTATTCTGTTTTTACGTCATTCTCGCCGTGTAATGCCATCGTAATTTAAGCACGTCACTTTCTTCCGTTCTTTTTACGAGTTACACATTTACAACGAGAATAGCGTGAAAACGTGTGACACCTAACACGTCTGCTACAACTTTGTCTTGGATTGTTTCCTGAAAGAAAACAAACCTTCCAGAACAACGGAAGTTGCATGCTTTGTCTGCTGCAAATTCTGTTAGCAATGACATAAATTTTTAACAAGGATTATATTTCGCCAACGGAAATTCTGTAACATTACTTGCGTCATATTCCATGGCTTTCGTGCTGTACATTTTACCACAAATCTTTAGCGTCTTTTACGTTATTTGTATATTATTATTTTTAGTGCTTGGCTGTAATCGGCCATGATTGGCGGTTATCAAACATCTGATACATTTATTATTATCCCATATATTCACCACTTTATAGGGTATTTAATTCCATTGTACCCGAAACAGACCTTGTGCAGCAGCTATTTCCGAAATACATTTTGTTTCTTTTAATACGTGCTACATATATTATATAGTTTTATTGTTAGAGATGACTACATATTTTACGACAGCGTCTTTCGAATGATTTATGAATATCCCAAAATGGCAGTTTTCTGCAGTTCCCTGATGTCGTGTTCACCCGGAATGTTGGCCAAATATTTTCTAAGTGACTTGGAGACAATTCCAGTTACTCCTATAATTATTGGGATCACTTTTGCTTTCACTTTCTACATTCCTTCTTAATCACATTCCTGTCAGTCGGTATTGCTATGACAATTAAGAGGCAGGTTCAATTTTTGTTTCGGATTATAATATCTGGTTTATTATTTGGAATGGTTCTATCTGTTTTGACTTGTTGGTTCCACAAAATAGTTATTCGGTTATCCTGACTTGTCTCAACTGCCTTCGGGATATGTTGTTATTATTTCAATTACAACTTTTAAATATTTCGTTTAAACGCGGGTTAGAATGCTGGCCTTGTAATCCTGGGGTCTCGGGTTCGATTCCCGGCGGTGCCCGAATTTATAACTTGTGTTGGGCAAGGCCGTGGTCTAGGCAACACGGAGTTTTCCTCCGGGGGCTTCCCCGGTTTCTCCGTGGCATCCCAACAATTACTCCATTCACACACAGAAGAAGGCAATGGCAAACCACTTCTGGATCATCTGCCAAGAACGTATATGAACAGGTCCCAGTCCGAGAAAAGGATGGAAGGATCCTGTTCATATGGACCTGTCGTCAGACAGAACACTACAGATAAAAAAAAAATAAACTAAAACCTACTCGTCATACCATCTTAAGAAGAAATGTAATTACAGTGCAATCCATCCGTGTGTTCGGAGAACAAGAGCGGACAATCTGACTTTGAACGGATTGACCCTTTGACACGTCTTTTGTTGATGTTGAATATCATAAACAAGTTGGTTTCTGTTGCAGTTCACGGCTTGGGTGGACGCGGTCATCTTCGTTTTCAGTCTGGAAAACGAGACGAGTTTCAACGCCATCTATAATTACTACACAAAGATGGCTCACTTCCGCAGTTCTGCAGACATCCCCCTGATTCTCGTTGGGACGCAAGGTAAGACCACAAATTGCCTTTTGGTTTTTAATCCTGTCGCACGTAATAAACGTATGGTCTGTTCTGAGTCAACAGAAATCTGTCCCCGTTACTGGTTAGATTTTAAAAGGTGTAACGTGACTGGGAAACTGTAGCCTGGTGGATATTAATACACATAATTTACAAATGTATTCTTCGCTGTTTTGTATACCTCCGCGACCCTGTTTTCTGTTTACTGCAAGTAGGGACTAAAGTTATATTAATATTTCAATATTTTCCGTCAAATCACAATTTTAATAAGATAATAAAATATAAAATATTTAAAATATCATTTCACGTTCCGCATCGAATGATCGATTTGTAAATCATATATATGTCTAGCGGTTAGAACGCTGGCCTTGTAATCCTGGGGTCTCGGGTTCGAATTTATAACTTGTGTTGGGCAAGGC